AATATATACCGCGACATTGGTTCGCTTATATATATGTATATATGTATCTGACCCCCCTCGGATGTCGCCGCGGCGCCGCCGTTACATCCATCTCAAACTGAAACTTTTATGATTTCACGTTTGGCCGCGTACGTTTAAGTTTGCGCGCACAAACTCAGTCAGCAGCCAGTCACAAGTGTCCTAGTACATTTACATGCACGAAACTCTTCGGGTAACTTCTATATTTCGCCGCGAGTCGCTCTCGCGGAAGTCGCGTTTCAAATTCATCTCGGCGTTAAAGAGCGAAATGTTTCTAACGAGATATTCGAAAAATGGCCAATTCGCATTTTTTTATATTTTTCCGAAAGACAGACTAAATTATACTTTTTGGATTTTATATACGCTTAATTCGTATATTAGATAGAGTTTTGCGATAATTTGAGGGAACGTCGAAAGAGGAAGCTCTCGATAGATATATGCAGAAAGTTCAAAGAAGTGTTGGTATTCATGGGTATCCTGAAAAAACCGCATCCTTATTCTACATATTTGCCACAAAGGCATCATCAGATGCCGCGAGCGTTTCCACGTCGAAGCAAAATCCCGCAAGATCCGGGGGCTACGCGTATAAATCATCTTTACAACACCGAGCGCGAATAAAAACTTTGTTAAACGGCGCGGACATAAATCACCGGCGAGAGGAAGTCGGCGAAGTTTTACCTCAAAACCGGCTTAAAGATAATGCATAATACGCGGAGGCGCGCGCAAAAACGCTAATTGGTGGCCGCGACGCTTTATCAATCTCCGTTGCGACGCGAGCGCAATCAGCGAGCGAGCCCGCCGGTCTCGCGAGAAGATCCCTCCCGGAATCCGAAATCTCTCGATGCGGGATTTACGGATGACCGCTGTAATTTGCTCCCGCTCCTGTCGGCGAAAGGACGTCCGTCGCACGGCGCTCTTGATTTCTCTTATCCCGGGGATTACGGGATCTTAGACGGTCTACAAATGTCACGCGGAAAAATCCCAGCTTCGATCGTCGGAAACGGCGACGAGTCCCCCGAGAGAACGAGAGAAACGTTCAGCGTGGAATCACGCGAAATAACGAAATAACTTACGTGACACATAAGCTTCTCTGACAGTTGATCTGGTTGATCAACTTGATACTCATAATACAAAATAAAACCTGACAACAATACGTATTGATAAATCATCATCTACATCGGAAATTATTAACGGTAATAATGAACTAATACATTAATAACAATAAATTACTAATATTTTGACAAATAATTACAATCGTGTATTATCTTCAAACGGCTTATTGCTAGGTAATTTATTATTTCAAAAAGTGGCTTGTTATCCGTGATTAATTTATCATTACTGGCAATTTCATTATTTCTGTATAGTTTATTTTTAAATTTAATATAGTTAATTTAATAACGCCTCCGTTAATTAAAAACATTTAAAGAAGGAATGTTTTTCTAGTTTAATTTAGCTTCTTCCGTTGTTACACCGAGAGAAATGTGTGCAACATGAAGCATAATTTTATTAAAGCTATTATTATATTACAGGATATATTAATAATATACAGGTACAGACAAACAATACGCATATAACCACCTATCCATTTACATTGTGCCAATTAGCCGAATGGTTAATAATTGATATCAAATATTCCCGATGTAACATATCGCAAAACATTTACATGTATGTACATACATGATATAATTTCAATCTCCATCCCCTTTGTGAACTAACTCTCAGAATTCAGTGATAAAAATTTCAGTAATAAAAATGCGAAGGAAATCCTTCAACATATATATCCCGATTTCGATTAAAAGAATTGTTGGTGAGCAGATATAAATAAAAAAGAACAGAAAATAATTCAACAATTATAAAAGTAATTTCTAAAATTAGGAGTTCTTCGAAAATTATGAGAGCACAATATTTCGTGGAGCACATTTCTATTAATTTCGTTTAATTTATATCTGTTTTTTGTTGAAAAATGTAGAAAATTAAGGGCCCAACGGCTCTATTTTCATTTATTACGAACGAAAGAATAGCAATTCGCGAAAGAGTAGCAATCTACCCTGCCAAATAAATTACCAAGCGTCTCTCGAACGCTATCGGAAAAGCCTCGGGCTTCATTATCGTTCATCCTTTCGGCGTGTGTTGTAGTCTTTCGTCGAATTCTTAGAGAGCTCGCCGAGTTGACCGAGGGATCCTCGTTACGGTTTATTTACCGAAGACTGGTACTGATTAATTCCAAACCGTTCCCCTCAGTCCTCACCCCCTGTGAATTCCGCACGGATGCTGTATGCGACCGCGTCCCCCCACCCCGCCATTCTGGATCCCTGCTCTCCGGCCTTCGTCCACTCGGTGTTTGCGGTCGATAGTCTCAGAGTTACGTTCGTCTGTTTGTTACCAAATATTACCGTCAAATAAGATGTAAAGGATGCTCCAGGGAAAGTTGTGAAAGGGTCTGGTCCCGGACTCCCGTGAAACTTGATTAAAATTACATTCCGAAATCAACAAGAATAATCCTAATCGATTATCTTCTCTCTTTCGAAAAAAATCTAATTACGATGATGCCATATATATAAAAGTCAACCGGGTAAAATTAAGCTCGACCTGCGCGAATGCGACAATATTGATTGCATAGATACATGTACACTCTTATTTCTTCTCCATCCAGGAAATAATGTCAAGAAAACGACAGGAAACTATATTTGACAGTTACTTATAAACTATAAACAGAAAACCGTATGTCTATATCTTAGGATTTGTTAAGGAACTTGAGTTTCCGTTTAATCGGTTACGGAAGTTACGGTTTTCTATTTTTATGCACGCTCGATTTGGTAAGGTAAAAGATTTCTGAATCTTAGCATTTGTTAGCAATGGGCTTCGCCAACTTCACAGAAAGTTTCAAATGCCTTTCCGAAACTTTACTCGATGCTCTCTCTCCTGCGAATGTTTGAACTGCAGGCTAATATTAAAGCTAACTGCTAAACATTAAATGCTAAATATTCAAATCGCTTGAAATCTTACAAATAGTTGCAACGCTTGAACGAAATCACTGCAGTTACATAATTTTGCGTCGCGTTTTTATCTAAATATTTATCCATCGTTAAAAGAGAGGTATATGAAGTCGATACTCTTTTTAAATCAACGTGAAATTAAATTAAATTATTTAACCTAAGTATAATATAATTAAAATTTATATAAAACTTTGTTTTTTTAATTTTGATTTTTTGAAAAAGTTTTTCTGATTTTTGATTTAGATAGAATTTATTTTTAACTATTTTAATTACTTAAATGTTACACTGGGATTCGAAAAAAAAATTTAATTTAACTTAAATTTAAAAATACCTGTTTTAGGTTTTACTTAAAAAAAAATTGTTTTAATTTTTATAGTAGATTGATGACGCGTAGCGTATGTCCGCGTGCGTGCACATACACATACAAATAAATAAATTTTAAATGTTTTGTGTTTACGTATTATTTATTTTATATATTTTTTTAACCACAATCTGTGTGTGTTAAAAAAATAAATGGCGCAAGAAAATAAATAGCGTGTTCTATAGTGTTTTGAAAATATTCCGTATAAAAAGTAGGCGAATTAAAAAGTTACATGGTTATTTGCCATTAGACAAGTTGCTCGTTTAGGTACGAATACGAAGGGGCGAGGTAGCAGGATTGCGTACTTCAACCAACTTGAAGCCAATCTGTTTTTATTTTTATTTTTTTTATTTTTTTAATAAAACTTTGATCGATGGTCATCTTTCTTCGTTTCTTTCCAACTTGCGACGCGGAATACTTTAGTAACTCATCCCCAAAAGTTTTCAAAATTTTGTATCGCATTATATTCGCTAAGATCAAAACGTGTCTTGAAATTCGTCGAACGACAGAATTTCGTCAATTTAGAGATCGTGATTCTGAATTACTGAGTATTCGTTTTCGCGTAATTCGCGTTCGTTTCGGTTTTTCATTAAGCAAGTATCGAGAATGCTTGAAACGTACATACCTATATTGGTCGGTCGATTTTACACGTGCAATTTCGAGAAATTTTTCCACTAATGAAGAGGTACAGCGGTGAGACAATCTCAAATAAAGCCTTTTTTTATTGTGAAAAAAGATCAGCTTTTCGAATAAAGCTTCCAAGTGAATACAGTGGCGATATCTATTAGCGGAACAACAAAACACCGTAGTGTCAAACTTTCAAATAGACGTAGTGACGTCATCTATTGGCGCGATAAAAAATATTAGTTCGCTGCTTTATCAACAAATGGCGCCGTAATGCAAATTCGGCGCGCTTCGTGGCTTTACTTGCTCGTGAAAAAATTTCTCGAAGCTGATTTGATATTACATACTTAGAATTATCGCCCAATTAATACATATTTTTTAAGCATTCTGTAATCGATTTCTGCTTAATAAAAACTTTAATTATTTTAATAAAAATTTTAATAATTTTGGACTTGTTAAACAATCAATAAACTAATGACGAAACCCTATAGCTTCAAATCTAAACTTTATTTTGTATAATATTTATTGAGAGATGCGGGTAGAGCGATTAAACTTTTAATATTTTATACAAATATACAGATTTACTAAATTAAAGCACCCTTTTTTTCATCCTTTATAATTTTCGATTACGAGGTCGCTTAGATAAGTAAAAACAGAGACAGAAAAAGGAAGCCAAAGTTGCATACATATTCAATTCAAGAAAAACTGATAAATATAACAGATAAGTCTAAAATCAGAAATTTAGATGTAATAACTTCGACGAGTTACTTTTTTATTTAAAAAATTCTTTTATAAAAATGGATTACGTTTAATAAATATTAATAGGCGAGGTATTGACGTGTGCATAATGATTTCAGCTCTTTTGGTAAAAAGGAAAACATCCTCGTTGATTTATTATCACAATCTGCCCAGTTATCAAATGGAGAAGACCATAATCCAATTATCAATTTATACCTTAATAGATATGTTAATTTGTCACTCACCGACCCCGATGCGCAACAGCGGAATTATATCTGCCACGTAGCTACCGTTGATTCTGTAACAAACAAATATAAAATTCGTATTAAAACAGTGTTCAAAAAACCTAATGTTTTGAAACATTATTCTTATGCGCATTGAACGTTTTATTCATTTAATTAGATATTTACTTAAATAATTACTATACATTTCCTAAAAGTAATCTTTACATGAATCAATTTCTATAAAATATTAAATTACTCTTTTTCTTCTACCTATAATATTATTTCTTAACCATGGTAAAATAAATAGGCTCAAGAATAAAGGAAAAAAAATTATTCGTACACAAATAAAAATTAATATTTACCGCAAAGTTGTTCCGCTGGCGCCCGATGCCTCTCCCAGGCCTCCTCCTCCTCTCAGACTGTCCTCATCTCGATCCCTCGATGCGACACTATAGCTGCGTCATTATCTTCTATAAAGCATATAAATAAATGATTTGAAATATATAAATTAAATAATTCTTACGCGCATCAAACTTCTTCTTCATCATTAAAAATTAGACATTTATTTGAATAATTATACATTTTTCGAAAAATAACTTTTACAAAATTTCAAATTACTTATTCCTTGATACCGCAAATATTAAATGAAAAGGTTGATACATGTTATATACTCACCAATTAAATAAGTCGCGACGCCAGTCGTTCCGCAGCCGATCCGTAACGTGTCCGTCGTCCGTCGCGTTCTCAGTTCTGAAAAGAGAAGGTAAACGTCATCAATATGGCGGAGGCGCTTCGTTTTCCGCGCAGACAACTTCTCGCGCCAAGAGCGTCGCGGCGCGGCAGCGCGGCGTCGCTACACTCGCTACTCGCTACACGTCGCGCTCCCAACTTCACGATCATGGATTTTCCGACTTTGAAAATCAAATACTATGTATATAAGCTCGCCTATTATTACGATCGTTATTTTGTGTTCTAGCCACTAGCGAATATATGTACTAATATTTGTATAACAGATATCCGCGATATTGGAAAATACAATCGTCATTCGTCCGCGCGACGCGCCTTGATCGACCGACCAAGTATCGCGAAAAGGTGTCTAAATGCGTATTTTTCCAAATCATTAACACCCGAACGTCGAATCGATACTACGCGATAGATACCGCGGTAAATAATGCATGCAAAATTAACGAAAGTTACTCGATCTTACCTTAATTAAATGAGTCGCGACGCCACTCGTCTCTCGTCTCTCGTCTCTCGTCTCGGAGCCGATCCGTACCGTCCGGACGCGTCCGCCAGTCCGCCGTGTTCTGAAAATGATTGAAATGAACGCAGGAGAACGTCATTAATATGGCGCGCGGAGGCACTTCGAATCGTTTCCCGCGCGGTCAACTTCACGTTCGATAAGAGCGACATTACTGCGCGTCCCGTTCTTATATTCGCGTTTATTTTTCTTATTCTAGCAACAAATGCTATACCTTGCCTTATATAGCGGTCGCCCTTTCGCATTAGGCCCGGTCTACAATAAGTCGTATGTCGGGAGTCGGATGTCGCAACATAGCCGATGGTCCAATGAGAGAATTTCGTTTTCGAATTCGAAACGAATTTTTCTCATTGAACCATCGGCTACGTTGCGACATCCGACTCCGACACAGTATAAGGATATATTATACTGTGACTCCGACATACGACTCATTGTAGACCGGGCCTTAGCCCGGTTCTACAATCAGTCGTACGACGTGTCGAGGTCGAATGTCGGGACGTAACCGATGATCCAATAAGGAAAATTCGTTTTCGAAAAAGAATTTCTCTCATTGGATCATCGGCTGCGTTCCCAATACCATCGACGAGATATATATATATCTCGTCGTCGGTGTTAATATTAATATATATTGAGAAGTAAACTGGAAACAAGAATATATATGTCACTCTTAATATATATGTTTTTCATACTCTTTTTTAAATATGTTAACTATAAAAATCTAATATTACGCCACTACATTTGCAAATGTAGCGCGGACGCGCACCAGAATGACATTTTATCGGCAGTGTCGGAAAATGAACGTGGCTACGTAGTACTTGAAAATGGATGTACCGGCGGTAGTGTACGCGTACAGGGGTTAGGCCAGTTAGGTTAGGAGGTTTCGATTTTCGATGGTCCCACGTCTCACGAAAAAGGCCGGACTGTAGGATTATACCTATACGCGTGGAAACAGTCTGCGAGACAGTTCATTCGTTCCGTGTACAGTCAACGAGCAGATTAATCAAGGGAGATAATTAAGAGGAATCGCGATGTCGCAGGGAAGAGGTGAGTGATCGGCTGATCGCGACGCCGCGCCGCGCCGCGTTCTGTCTCATTGTCAAGAAGAAATCACATCGGTTCCACGTGTGAACGTGAGGCTGGGTGACAGCTGATGAGTCGGAAGTTCGTAGCGGCGGTGGTACACAAATCCGCTTTTAAAGAGCTTGAGAGAGATCCTTTCGAATTGATATCTGTGAAAGTTCTAAAGAAAATGGGTTATATCATTGCTATGGATTGCTCTTGCAGCAAAACTCTTTACCTCTCAAAATTAAAGATAATAAAAGAGTTAACTTTTTTTTAAGATTTACAATCACTTTAACGCGTTACATATATTTCAATGCTCTTCATATTTTTCTATGTTGTGTAACAAACTATACGTTAATTGAGAGACACATGAAACTTTCCTTCAGTGTTTATCGCAGTTTGATTTTGCTGTAGTAGACATTTACATATGTGTCTACTTCTTTAAACCGTCTGTAACTTTGTCACAGATTGCAAGATATTGTCTTCTAACATTGGCGTTACTTGCAGGAGGTAGGAGAAATCGCAAGCATCATGATAAGGACAAAATCAATCTTGGCGACAAGGGCAAGGAAGTGGTGGAGGACATAAACGAGAACAGTGTTGTAGTGCAACAATTCCGCGCCTACGCTGCCGAACTGGACGCCAAGCACGATCGTTACGAAAGGATATTCAAGATCAATCGGGATGTGGGCATCGAGAGCAAAAGAATCATCTTTCTCTTGCACACCATCGACAAGGAGAGCAAACGGAACGCCGTGTTAGACACGGCCAAGGCAAGACTGGAGAACGTAGCACAGAAGTTGTTCCGAAATATCGCGAGTGAGTTGGACGGTCAGGACGCCTATCAGTTCCACAGGGCCTATCGCGCCGGTCTGGAGGAATACGTGGAGGCGCTCACATTCTACGAGTATCTGCTGAATGGTGGTATGCAGGATTGGACCACCTTGGAAAGGGCACTGGCATACCCCGCGACCTCATCTCCAGCCGATTCGCCGGAGCCGGAGCAAAGTAATTGCAAGACAATCCAGGTCATGGTCACGCCGACGGACTATATCCTGGGAATAGCCGATCTGACCGGAGAGCTGATGCGAAAGTGTATCAATAATCTGGCGATAGGCGACGTGTCCAGTTGCTATCAAACGTGTAATTTTGTCAGAAAGATATACATCGCCTTCTTGGGCTACACCAGCGTAGTGCACAACAACGAGGTGAACAAGAAAATCATCACGCTCAAGCACAGTCTGACCAAAATGGAGAATGCGTGTTACACCATCAAAGTCCGGGGATCCGAGATACCAAAGCATATGTTGGCTGATATGGCCATTGCAGCGGCTGAGGAATACGCCACCGAGGACGATGAGGGATATCAGGCGTTTTAATATATACGAGAGCGCGGATTACTTTAATATTTATTAATTATTGTGGACTTATCAACCTGATGCGGAATAAAAGCAGCATTTTATATAGCTGACTATATAATCGGAAATTTAAATGTTAAAGAAACTTGGTTTTCTAGTGCCGATTATTCGATTATTTGAAACTGTTAATTTTACGAAGATTACATAAAAAATTCTATGGCATACAATTATCTTACCTTGGACATTATTTAAACGTTTAGAATAAGTGTTTTATATTTTCAATACGCATCAGATTAATATATTCGTATTTCCCGACATGTAAAAGGGCAACGTCGGTTGTGATATATTATTAACGTTTTTATATATATCTCTCCAAGTAAAATGGATATACAAATACAATATTTCAAGACCATGTACAAAAATAAATATTCCATAACAAAATAGATCTGTATTGCGGACGTATCTATAATTTGGACGCTCTCGAAAATTGTAAAATCGACGATAGCGTAGGAAAACCGATGACTTCCATCATTAGCCGGTAGTACCATCATCCTCCAGCTCACTCCTGTCGTCCCAGTCGTCGGAACTTTCGGTGTACACGGACGGCTCGTAATCAGACTCGTCAACAGATTCCTCCGCGGATGACGGGTCTGTTTCGGGCGTGGTGTCGACGACCACCGAGTTCACAGGGGTGGCGGCTCTTCGACGGCGACGGGGCGCGGCCGTGTGTTTGAACTGTCCCTTGTGCTGCGGATTCTTACGATAGCATTTCACGCCGTACGGACACTCCTGCCGGTCGTCGACCTCATCGTAATCGGAATCGTCCGGATGACTGTAGTTGTTCTTGTGATTGGGATTTTTCCTGCGGTGAATCGTGTATGTTGCACTTTGGCGAAATTGTTTTGATAAAAAAAAATTGATTTGCACGTGCATTGTTTCACTTACCGATAACATTGAGCGCCGTACATGCATTTCTCTCTAGGGACCCTATCGGGATTTGATGCACTCGCTTGATTTTCAGGTGTGGCAACGGGGCGAGGTGGCTGAGAATCGTTCGGCGGATCCGCTTCAATCTGATCGCTGAAGTGCGCGCCGCAATCCCATTTGATCCTCTTGCCTGACTCATCGGTTGTCGCAGCTTTACTCGTTACATTAATATTCTTCGCTTTTCGTTTCCTGTTATTCTCGTGCTCAGGAGAGGAGGGATGTAATTGAACAGGAGGTTCAATTACATCCTGAGAGTCCGTTGACATCTTGGAACTCGTCGCTGGCATATCACCTTCCTCTGGACAGCTGAAAGATGTGCAAAGAACACGATAAACAACCGTATATCTTCATCGTCAGATATTTCTGCTCGATTCCAAATAGAGTGAAACCTTGTGGGCTCGATTTGCAAAGCTGGAGCAGGCGCATCCTGGTGTTCTCCATTTCCATTAACAGGACAATCCTTAAGCTCGTTCGGTGGATCCTTATCACTAGGAATGCCGTTCAAACTTTCACCAGGAGACCCCACAGCTTCCATGCTGGACAATAAACAGGCCTTCTTAATGTCCGCTTCATTATTTGGATCTTCCTGATCAATCTGAAATGTAGAAAACTCCTTAGTAAGAAAATTCTTCACGTGAAATTCCCTTCAGATGTCGACAATAATCGCTACCTTTCTCTTCAATGTCTGATCACCTTCCTGCATCGTGTCCGGCACCGAGATGATCTTGAACCAACATTTGTCGGGCAGCAGAGAGCAAACGTCGCCTGGCTTTATCGGCACGCTGCTTCCCAATTTAAGAGCTCGCCATCGTGCGCATCCAGTGGGTTTCATATAACATGGTGCCACCTAATACTGGAAAATGGTTTCTATAGAAAACTGATATACCGTCGACATATTGCAAAAACAAATAAGCTATCACACCATCATGCAATTCTCTTCATTGTGCGAAAGCTATATTGTTACGAGTGGTTAATTTGCTATCGTTACACGTTGTCAACTAAAGTATCACCGAGATTATCTCGGATAAGTCAAATTTTATCAGAGTTTATTATTATCAGAGTACCAATACGTGTCAAATGATAAGGATGACCTTAGGCGAGACGGGAGGCCTTACCGGAGTAATCGTCATTTCATCGTTGGGCGACAGATTGATGGTCACGGCGTGTTTGAGCACCTGGCCGTCGTTGCACTGCGATAACGGTAAGGATCGTTAAATTTCAACGCGACAATCAATCCTACAGTTAGTTAAAGCGTCAATTAATTAGCCGAAAGGATCATCAATGAAAAAAATTGCCAAACACGCTGTCGCGCGTGTGTGTCTCGGTGACTCGGAGTCGTTCTGCGTTCTCTCGTCTCGATTTGCCGCGCGATTCGGCTCATTTATCTTATCCGTGTAATAATTAATTGATAAAGGCAAATGTCCAAACTGCAACGCAAATCACGCCGGGCGTCGATTCAACGTGATTCAACGACGACTATATTTTGAAACGCAGAACGCTCCGAAATTCACTGGCGCCGCCCGACGGTCGAACGAGCCGTCGGCGAAACGCAGCGGAAAAATCACGTGGGTAAAAATTTTTGCGGCACTCCGGTGTTTGTGCCCCGCAGATAATATTACAGAACGCCGACATTATCAACCGCGTCTGATGATGCAAATAATCTTCGATGATTACGCGCGTCACGCACACGTGTTAATTAACAGCTTAATTTAGTCGTTCCCGCAAATCCCGCATTCATTATTGCCGCTTTTAAATTGCACGCCTCGTGGCGCGATAAAACGTCAATGTCTCTCGAGGCAATTAATGGGATAATTCTACGTCATAATTCTACGTTATCGTTCGCTTGAATTTATCACGTCGTTATACACGTACATCTTCACGCGATATTTGTTAAATGCGCGACGAATTTCTCGAAGAGAACTGATAAGCATTTTTTTTATCGCTGTGACGCAGTCAAATGAGCTGCTATCGGTTATTATCAGCGCACATGATGTTCGTACCGGGGCGGAAGCATATTCGGAACGCGTGCTTCCTGTTTAGACAGTTTGCGCGTCATAACTCATAACTGCGCAGGTTGATTATTCGAGATATATTATTATATTATGACATTATTACCTCCTTGTCGTATATTATATTATATAATATAATAACACATACATATTTAATATATTATTATATTAATAATAAGATGTTATATATAATAATTACTATTGTGTGCAGAATTATAAGTCAAACATTGATATATCAAACTCTGCGAATAAGTCTCATCTCGAACCATGAATCACCCGACAAAATGATATAGTAGGATAATCTTGACGCGTCAGCTTATCCGTTCGCATACGTCAACGCCAACCGCAACCCGAATCAGAAATGCGAGAGGAATATTTATATTTCTTCGCCTCAACTTGGATTTAATTCGGATCGATAGAATTTAAAGGATTCCATGAGAATTTTATGAGAAATATATAATTCATTTTAGATCGTATCCTGCGCGATTATATAGTTTATATTATCTGGTAGCAGGATTATTCGTCTCAAAAGGAGTTCCTCGTTTCTTTGGAGTAATATTTTGTATGGCATCTTGATAGAGTAACTTGGGAAAAAAATCAGTTACGCAACTCACTCCTGTCGCGGCGCCGCGGCCGATGATATTGTTGCCGATCAGCAAATTCGCCTTCTGCACCAGATCGTTGTCCACTCGCACTATTTGCAGCTTTTTCGACATGATTAATTTTCCGATAGATAGGTTAACGCGTCACGGGGGACATTTCGAGACTATTCGCTGGAAAAATTTGTCGTTTTGACAAGAGAAGACTGCGTAGCAGCTGACAAGGATTCACGACGGGCCAACTTCGGACGCAGTTGACCGCGACTGCAGAATTATGAATAATTCTCATCTAACACTCTCTATTCGCATGTTTTTTAATACAAAAAAATCTATATTCTAATTTTAAGTTTTACGAGTTATTCTCATCGTGGCGAAGAGAAAGCTTGTCAATTATCTCTTCTCCGCTACACGTCGGATTCCAACAACAGATTCAAAATTAACGAAACAAAAGTAGAACACTCCGTATTTACAGTCGCATTTGCTAATTGGGTTTTTTTCAGAGAACTCTGAACAAAGCAGATAATCGCGCAGAAGAGGAATGCAGGGTAAGAAGTTATACAAGCGTTTAACAATGAAATGTCTTTTTTCATTTACAATTACAAAGAATGTACACGCTTATAAACAAACAAAGAGAAATGCGCCGAGAAGTTACAGTACAGATCTGACGCGATGCCATGAAGCTCTTTGCGTGGAAAGGTCTCATAAAAAACTGCCGGAGAGATGCTAGACTCGGTTTACTCGTCGGTGTGTTGAGGATGTTACGATCAGCTGGACCAGTCGCCGTTATACCGTACATATATGTGTATATCCGAATTAAGCACGCTCTCACGCGATCGCGGTCGCGATTTTTTTTTTTTTTTTTTTACATCCCTTCGTCGTCTCCCTCTCCCTCTGCAAAATTGCGGATGATAACGCGCAATTTTTGCGTCGACCGGCCGTACAGTGTAATTGTCGTTTACGTTTTGTACATAATCCGATATCCCGGGGGACGCGGGAACAACCGAGAAAATCATCCCGCAGGCGTGAAAGCGGAAGGAAGTGTCGTGTGGTAAAATATGGAACATCTGTCCTCCTATTTCCAAGCCGCGAAATGACGCTGGTTGATCCGAGCTCGAAGTAAATCAAACAGGTATTCTGTCGCCGCCCAAAAATGCCCCTGACAAAAGATGCATAGTACCAGGGAACGTCTTTCTTTGCCCTGCAAGCGCCATTTCTTCCAGTAAAAATAAAGGTACCAGAGGGCGCGAAAAAAATGTTTTTGTCCTGAGGTATTACAATATTTTAACCGTAATTTTTCAGGATATAAAGGAATAATACGTGCATCGTAGTTCTTCAAAATGATCGTTTTAGATGCGATTCACCAATTTGGGTAATGAACCACGTGCCTCTCCTGTTAGCGGCACTTTGGGAGGCGAAGTCGTTATTAAATCGTTGGCGAGTGTCACCTGTGACTCATTACGGAACGGCGCGCGACTCATTAACGTGATTTACAGTGTCGCGATTATTCGCGTTATTTTCGTCTCGATGCGTGTCGGCGAGAAAAGTTTCCTGGTTCTTTACACGATGACGAGAGCGTCGTTGCGGGTCCAAGAGAAACCCAGTGTCGAGACGGTTCCGCCGATCGCGTCTGAAATTAATTAAATACAGACATATCTCGTCTATTAGGTAGACTCCCGAATGAGAACTCGACCATACCCGGGTGCCCGGAAGATACGAAATCGCAAGCCCTCCAGGTCGCTTTGAACACACATTGTTAAAGTCCCCGTCTCTTCACGCACGCGTCCACCATGCAGAATCCGAAAACCCATTCGGCCTCGTTGAACGGCGAGCTTCTCGTCCGTCCTGCGCAAAAACCAAAGACGCGCTCCCCATTCGGGAAATCCGTCGTCCGATCGCGGAATCTCGCCGTTTAGCTTATGAAATAGGAACTTTGTAGATCGCGGTTCTTTTCCGCGAAGGAGGATGAACTTGAAGGAATCGGTAGATTCCTTATGAATTTTTTATCCTCTACCTCGGAAGTCCTGACTGTCGAGTCTTCTCTACCAAGTAACCATGCAATTTACACAGTAAAAAATTTAATGTCCCAGAAAGTCCACTCTAAATTTTGTGTTAAAATAACTCATGCATTGTGTTATTTTTTACATTTAGAAATGTTATATCGACTAAAATAACACAATGCATGAGTTATTTTAACACAAAATTTAGAGTGGACTTTCTGGGACATTAAATTTTATACAGTGTACATGTTAGTTAGAATTTTTTTCTCAACGATGTAAATATAATACATGTGTTGAGTAGGAAATTATAACTAACATATTTATTTGCTGGTTCTGTTCTTTTCCATTTTGATCCTCTCGCCGGGCAAGATAAGAGACGGGAAAAAAAATGGACTCTTTATATACAGCTCATTAAGATATGTTACATAAACATTTCGTTTCTGCGTAGCCCGATTAATACGTCGTATCCACTTGATCAGTATTGAATAAAGATCTCCGAGAGATTAGATGCGATCGAACACGGATCTCTCTCTGTCGACTCGCTCAAGTTCACCCGTCCCTTTCCTCGCAGAATCGTTAGATGAATAGTAGGTCTGGTGTGTCGCAGGCCGGCTTCGTTTGTTGCCTATAGTAAGTAAGAAACTAATCAGCGGGTTACGTGTTGTCCCGCAAGTCCGTTTCGGTGCACGGAGTGATCTTTGGAAGTGATCTACGTCGTTTTTTTGGTTTTAATTTGTCAAGTGTTGTCATGTAGTAGCACACATATCACAGCATACCTTTAACGAGCTCGCACTTGCCGGAATAATGATATACAATATCGTCGTGCCTCGGGGCGATGCAATGTACGAGAGCGAAAGTGTCGAAACGGAAAGTCTTATCGAATCGGCCCTCTTATCGGTGTGATATATCAGTGTCCCGATAGAATTTCTGATGCGTACGTTGCGTGTCACGGAACGTGGATGTCGTTGAACATTAAAGAATTCAGGCGCTAAAAAGAAGCTGCAGGTACTACAGGCGGAAATCATTTCGGGAAGCTAAATAATATCTCATTTATCTGGGAAAGGGAGTATAGAAAAAATATTCTTTGCGTCAATTTTCTTTGTACTTCACAGACGATGGAATTTACAGTCTTTTAGAGACCGTTACCGCGTTTTAGAATCTTTCTCAACGAAACGTAAGTTTCCGATGGTTTACCTGCAGCTCCCTTTTTTTCTTGCATCGAATCTTTTATAAGGTATAATAAAATTGAAATAAACGGTGCTGCGATGAATTACTGCGCATAAATAATTAAAGAGCCTTGTCGTGTAGAAGCCCGAAAACATAATAACAATAGATATACTTAATCTCTGAATCGCGCAGGAATGCTCGTGATCGAAGCTAATCGACGAAATGAGCTGCCGGAAACGGACAGCTGGTCTACGACAATGTAAATTAACATCGTACTTCGTGATCAATGTAATATAAATCCTACGTATTTATATGTAAATTAAAAACTAGTATCGCCTTGCGGAATATCTTCTTCGAAGTAATCGAGATGAAGCACTGAGAATGATATAGAGACCCAAGTCACAATTTTTTCATGAAAAGCTAACAGAAGCAACGTCTATCGGGGAATATTCTCCTGCTGGGTATTTCTGCGGCTGTCCAAGCGACGAAACGAGGAAACGTTTATCTCTAATGAACGTGTCTTATAAAACGTTCGTGTTTAGCGGGTCGGTCTATGGCATCGCACAATGAGCAAAAGTTGGAGCGAGTTGCTTATATATGGCCTATTAGAATATACGCTAGACTACCCCTTTCTGTTCCTAGAACTCTTCGTGGCTTAGGTCTATATAAATTTCAACGCTTCAAATAATAAATACACGAAAAGGCGTTCTGCGCCGCCCGCGCCGGGACCCGCGTGTCCCACCAGTTGAGACGCACATTAACTACGAAACATTATTTGGAATGATACAACGCATCTGTCACGATCATCGGGCATACACATGCACGTGTGTACGTATATACATGTATACACAAATTGCTTTCGATTCGCGGGTCTCTCCCCGGAAAAGGGAGGCCGCGGGGTCGTGTAACGTCGTCGCCGCCGCGACGCCTTCGAGGAAAGGAAAGGAAGAGAAAGAGGAAATGATATGCACCGGAAGAGCGACTTATACCGAAACGAAAGCGCTGTATATGTGTGTGTACAGGTATGTGTCTTTAAGCGTTAAGCCGCGCGCGAGCTGCGACCCGCAAAACGTAGGCGAATCAAAAGGAGTTCATGGAAGAAATCCACCTCGCGAGATTGACTGTTTAATCTTTGAGATCGGATATTGGCTTCGGTATCCCTAAATTCCCGCTCGTTTCTCTTTTAATAAACAGTTTTAAATAAAAGAATAAGATTCTCGAAATTAAGGTCTGCCGATCAGATTTCCCTTCTTTTCCGCGCTCGGAGTTCAAAGACGTCGTTAACACTAGAACCACCAAAGCAGTCAAAATGACTGATTTGTACTTTTTTAGCAAATTTATAATAGTGCATTTTTTAAATTTCCGTGACCTTTATTGCAACGTGTGATTAAATTGATTAATTTACTTTCTTCCTTCACCCCTTTTTCAAAGATACATATATTTAAATAGTAGGAAATAAGAGTATATACGTTAATCTCGTCAATATCCCAGCAAACACAGAATACACCGAGTGCGCAATTTGATAGCAAATTGCGCACTCGGTGTATTCTGTGTTTGCTGGGATAGTTCTAAATGTTCTAGTGTTAAGAGCATCGGCGATATCGGGAAGACCCAGAGCCGCGCAAAAAGGTCCAACATCCGTAGATCAAACGTCCAATCTCGCGGAGATAGATTTTCCCACGGGTTTCCATTTCAACTCGTCCGCTTCTTCGACGATGACGAATTCGAGCTCGAACCGCTCGCTCAAACCGTACCGGAGTAGCTCTCGCTCGGCCAGACGTAGTATAGGTGACGTCGGCGTGCGTACGCCTGCTGGAGCTGCGCCTCGGACGCCCGCGACGATCCCTGCGGTCCTTGATGACCTCGTGGTGGACCGGCGTCGGTGTCCGGCTCTGGCTATACTATGGTACCGCCGCCTTCCACCGGGCTGACTACGTGGAGAGCGGCGCCGCCGACCTGGCTGATCCCTGGCTGAAATTAAAGACAACGCGAACCACTCGTTGATACACGACGACACGAGTAACGCGCTTCTGATCGCCTAAGTCGTCTAATAAAGATGCGCGCTATTCCCAAGAAGTTTTTGCGCATCTCTTTTATCATCCTTTATTGTCCCGAGAGCCAGAGATTTATTTTTTACAGACAATTACATAACGGTTGAATGACTAAAAGGCTGTAGAAAGAATTTCAATAATCCAATTTCTGATTTAGAAATTTACATTTTCACTAAGATAGAACTTATACCTTCATCAGGAATTAATATCTTCATTCGATCAAGTTAAACTTGTAAATAATTTAAATTGTCCGTATTACGCGTATAGTTCTCACTTTCCTGTCTTTGTAAAAACTTTTTGGGAATAATGCAAATCTGGCAAGAGAGAAAGAGAAAGAGAGAGAGAGAGAGTGCGTGAGAGCAGAGTAATATAATGCAATTCGTGGTATAAAATTCAGAAGCGCTGTCGAGAGATATCTCGATCAAGAACAGTGTGTGAATGATTCGAGCGTGTACGCTATTCTACTTCCATAACAAGTCCGATCAAGCGGTAAATAAAGCAAAATAGAACGGAAAATGATAATTCATATACGTACCATGCGATAACTCAGGGAAGTCTCATCCACGATATTCTCTTGCATCAGCCAAAGCGTGGTACAGAACATTAATCTTTCCGATCAATCAAAAGTGAGAAAAAGGAATTAATGCTTCATCGGTTTTGAGAAATTAAGCGCAAGCATCGTCCGATTAAAAATTATAAAAAAGACGCGCTAGTAAAATTATAAGTTCGCGCTGTAAAAAGAAGCAACGCACGCTGTAATGAACTTCACCGCGGCACGTCCGCAATTAGTTAGGTATTTATGCAGCGTTGGCCAAAAGCGTGAAAGACTCGCTTTCATTAAATTGTATATGTATAACATACTTTCAACGTAATACAGTAAATCAACGGCAGCGATTAAAACGTTCCTTTAGTACACGATAAAGTAATTACGCAGTATTTGTAATTCCAATTTGCAAACGCTGGCTAGTTTAACCGATCGCAAAATTTAATGAGACTGCGCCGCCGTACTTTTGGACAAGGCCGTTAAAATTAAAAGGTGAGAGAGTGAGGGATATTCACGTGTGATACAAATGCTCTATGCAAAACGCCCAGGAAACACTATTCGAGTCCTAATATCGGGACCTAGTACTATTAAAAAAAAAAAGAGAAAAAAAGACATGCGATGTTCTTGGCAGACTGTAAAACAAACATCGTCTTACATGTGTCACCATACATATGTATGTATGCATATGTACGTGTCGCACAAAAGACTTCCCCGGCCGTTCTCCTTGGAGCTTCTGCATTGCACTTGATTGAACAAAATTTCTCAACAAGCGGGAAGCAAGCAGCGATCGTTCATTCAAATTTTTGCTTTATTGTACAACAAGGCAAAATTCATCGTTTTTTCAACAAAAGATTAAATGTTCTCGCATCTCGTAATCGTAAAGTCTGGAGAGACGACAGTTTGGCTAAATAATTTTCTCGTTGACTCTCTATCAATGGTCGGCTAAAGCTAAATAACACTTTACAGAAGATAGAAAGAAGGTTTCCTTCAATAAAGGGGCCTGCCCTGTCACGAGGCCTCATAGGGCTCAAACAACATTGCTCTCGAGGATGCAAACCAAAAACATAAATATATTTGATAAAGGTATTCGATCGCTATCCTATAGTTCGCGTAATTCTGTAATATTCATCGCGAGAATATATCTTGACCAGACCATCATTAGGCACAGATATCAACGACAGCCTATACTATGAATGAACTTTAAGCATCTATTGTCTTTTTTTTTATTTGCAGCGCATGCACTAACGAGGTATTATAGAATTGATAACAGAATAAATAAGGTTCTAAATAGAAAGTAAGTTAAAGCTCATCAGTTTCTCGCAAAAACATAATATTAATGAAAAAACTATATTAATGCATCTGAAAAAAACATCATAATGTGCGCGCTCTACACTACTTAATTTGAGATGTCTATTTTCATGCAATTCGGGCAATAGATTTGTATTCGAAAATGTCGCGAATTTATCCGATCTAATGGAATGTCCTAAGGCAAGATTATCCGAAAGGTGTTCATCATTATACGCAGAAGGATCGAAAAATATTTAACGTATTAAAAAAAGGTGCCCTGTAAAATTCAAGATTGAGGGCCCGATAATACGTATATAATTATAAACTACAAAACTTGTTCACTCATAGTATCGTCCGTCCATGTACTTCTGTAATTGTATACACAATATATAAACTTAGAGAAAAATACTAAAAAAAAATCCTCAATGCTCTTTCTCTACGATGGCACCTCCCAATACTAATAGAATTCAAACGCAATTATACAACCGTAAGGTCGTAGACTTAATTGTTGAATAGGGACTCTCTAAGATTAAATATACTGATTGTAATATATAAAACTTAAATAACAGCGACGCGAGATCGTCGTATCAAACACCCGGCAAGGTAATACCGAATTCGTCAATGTATCTCGTTTTAATACTTCCAAGCCAGAACAATCATTTGTCTTCATTGACCTCCTCCTGTCACCGCGGCAGGCGATAGGAAGACTACACAAAAGCATTACAAGATTTTTCCCGTGTCACTTTTGTCACGATAACATCGTTTTTTGGATTCTAACTCTACGTATATATGTACAGAATTCTCGGATCTTCCGACCAACAGACTCTAGACGATGGACTCGCTAAATAACGATTTGGAGATAACGGGTTACATCAGAGGTCGTTACATCGCATGGAATTGATATTACTAGTGTAGGGGTTGTTGCTATGATGGTGTGATGGCCTGTGCAGGGTGCTGCTTATCGTGAGAGGACCTACCATGTGGCCGGGCCTCGCCCACGTGTACACGTATCCATCCTGACACGCCGTTACGAAGCAATCTTCCCTAAACACTAATTCAGTCAGTCTCTCGTGCGCCAGCTTCTTGCACACCAGCGGCTCGAGGACCGGGCACTCGTCGAACCTGGGACACCAGGCGGTCCCTATCAACCTCATAGGATCGTCCATCACGGAACTAACCTTTTTACTTCCCGTCCCACCTACTAAACCCCCACTGACACTGTTGTTCAGACTACTACTCGTCGTACTCGTCGAGTTGCCGGTGCTCGCCTTGTCGCCACCATTGTTCTGCACGACCGTCGTCACGCTGTTATTGGCCGTCGTCGCCGTTGCACCGGTCCCGCTACCTCGCATCGTCAGGCTAAAGTTTCTCTTGTGATTATCACCCTTACGCTCGCCGAAGCCAAGTCCCGCTAGCCTCTGCGTCAGCGAATTCACAGTCGCCACCGCGGCGTTCGTGCCAGTGCTATTGTTACTAGTCTCGTTATTACCACTCGCGTTCTCCTTGAAGTTTACATTATTTGAGTTATTATGTTTAGCATTCGAGTTCGAATGGTGATTCGCCGTTGTCGCTGCCCCATTGCCACTATTGAACGTGCCCGAGGACGACAAAGTACCGCCGCTGGTGCTGCACGTCGCAGAGGGTCTCTGTTTGGCGCACACCGGTTGCCTCAGCACATCCTCCGTGATGTCCCATAGGCACAGTTGGGTGTCCTGCGATACACTGCCTAACCTATAGCACGTGCCGCCCGACATTCTCAATTCGGAGCCACAGGAATTACGATTCGAGTGGACCCCGCCGCTCTGCGAGGTCGTCGACAAGCGATGCGACTTCTCGTGGAAGTGATTGTGATTGTTATGCGGCATCGTCTCGTCATCCGAACCGCTAAAGTCGGGATCGTGGTCACCGTAGGACGTCGTGTACGGATCAAAGGCAACCACGCTCACCCAACTATGGTGGCCTTGCCCCCGTGCCACGACCCGCTTCTCGTGGAAGCTCCAGATAGTCACCAGATCGTCCTCGCCCCCTACCACCACGTAACGTCCGTCCGGCGACCAGCACACGCACAGAAAACCGCCGAAGTAGCTCCTTGCCGAGCCGACCAGTTCCATAGTATTGTATTGAAAAACACGCAGGAATCCATCCTGTGATACCACGGCTAAGTTCGTGCCGCACGGACTAAAGGCGAATTCATTTATACAACATCCTTCCGCGCCTATCACCCACCGATACAGCGGGTTTCTCGTAGATTTGGTTTTGCAGGTATATATGGCGTATCCGTCACCCGATTTGAACGATTGATAGTGCGGCGCGGTGGTGCCGCAGAGCAGTTCTTCATTATAGAGGTACAGCTGACCGGAGCTATGAGAGACCAGAAATAGGTTGTTCGAGCCGGGAACCCACTTTATACATGTCACCTTGCTCTTGTCTATCAGTCTCTGAAATGTAAATGTTCCTCATTAAAGTCAAAAAAATATTCTCGTCAAAATAAAACAAACTTAACTAGTGCCGCAAAAAACTTTTTAAAACTTGCATTAATTTTATATTACGTTCAAAATTATCTATTAAGTTTCCAAGAACGTTTAATAATAATTTGATTAGAAAATAAATAGCGCTTCTCTCTTTTTCTGCAGATACAAAGCTTAGAAATGAATTTTTATATCATAATCTCAATAGTACGATTGTGATAAACAAAGATAAAGCGGAAAATGATACGGTATACGATATGAAAATAATAACGGATATTATTGGAGTATTAAGAATGTGTTTGCAAAACGTTACTTTATCCGACAAAAATAAATTATTCGAGATTTATTGAGACTGAAATGTATATAAAATAGACGGCACAATCGTTCCAGCAAGGCCTGTGTCTGCCGCAAGAAGACAGCGGAAAGTTATGTAATGTTGCTTGTTGAGCTTAATTATTTGATTGAGATATAATTGCATTAGTGCGCGGGCCCACCGAGCATAGAATAGCCTGGATAATGTGCTGCTAAATATTAAGTACGGTCATTGCAGGATGTGGAGCATGGTGGCTAGGCATCCTGAACCAGCATTCATTTCCCAGTTTATCATGTTTCAATAAGATAACACGGACATATCATCAAGAACGGATAAGCGTTGACAGCTTTTGCACACATTGCACAGGAACTAGCTGCACTAGAGAATATTGTTTGAACTATGAGATTATTTATCTCTACGTAAGCTAGCTCGCAGATAATGCAAAGAGTTTCTCACTCTCTATCGGGTGCGGTGCAGGAGAGAAGGCTTCCTTGAGAATCGAGTGATAAAAATTTGCAATCTGTGTGAAATTTGCTTTTACGTACGTCTTCATTGTACAATTTGCTGAGCTGAGAACTGTCCTTCTTTATGGGATCGATCAGCTGTATCTGCCCCGTGGAGAATCCCACCAGCAATGGAGCGCTATCGGCCGTCGCTGTTGTTTGATTAAAATTGTGGCAGGTCGGATTAGTTCCCTTGTATAACTTTTTGTCCACCGGTTTGTTCAAGTCTACAGCCTGAAATATTTTAACGATGCGTCAAGTCAAATCAATCGAAGTAATAAATAATTTACTTTCTAGTGACAATGTACAAAAATTCGAAAGGGCTACGCATGCAATAAGTTGTTTAAATAATTATCCTATTTCGAAAGCTTCTTAGCAATGATTTCAAGTGTCTATAAAAGTTTACGGTACTTCGGGGAAATCTTAATAAATTAATTCCGTCGGTTTTTTATTTCTTACATATAAATCAACGATTCAATCGACGATTACTAAGAATTAAGATAGCAGTATATTATCTGCGAGAGATACTATTTATCCGATTACTCGGTAAGCACTTCCGAGAAACGTCAGCGCGAACGTTCGCCGTCAGCTCGCTCGTTTACGAGTAAAAAAAAAGGGAAAAAAAGAGGAAGAAAAACGGGGAAAGGCAGCGACGATGGGACGCGGGTCGACCCAGAGGAAGCTCTCGACGTCGCGTTCGTCGTCGCGGAGGACGGGGCAGACGGTGAAAACGAGTCGGCCGCAAAGATGGAGGGTCTCGCGACGTTTGCGAGGTTAGGTCGCGACGACGGCTCGCGGATCCGGGACGGGAGTACTCTGTCGTTCTCGGGGGAGAGGGGGGGCCGTCGCGTCTCACCTTCTTGACACCGCGGTAGACGTAGACGTAGAGCTCCTTGCCGAAATTAAAGCACATTCGGTCGCCGAGGCCCTGCGCGCCCGTGGGGTCCGCTGGGTCCGGCAGCGTGACGAAGGACACCCTGACGGACGCGCTGCCCTGGCTGTTGGTGTAGCCGACTCGGTTCGGTCTCGAGTACTCCGACAGGGTCATCAGCTTGTAGGTGCCCTCCCGCGTGACGAATTGTGTTTTCAGGTCCTCCTTCCCTCCTCCGTCCAGCTGCACAGCCATCTTACCACCAGCAGCAGCAGCAGCAGCAGCGGCGCGGCGGAGGAGCTCATCAGACACGCAGGGAGATTATCGCTCGTAGGCCGCCCTCGTTTCTGGCCCGCCGTTACGCACCGTCGTCCACCCTCGTCCACCGTCCACCGTCGACCAACGATCGTCCGGCCGACCGACCGTGCGCGTGTGTGCGTCGCCGTCGTCCGATCACTCCGAACTCCTACTACTTCGACTCCGAACTCCGATCGCCGTCCGCGTCCGCGACTCCCTCACTCACGTCGCTGTCGCTCGCGTGTGGCACTCAGCACTGTGGCTCCCCTCGCCCGTCCGCAGGCAACTTCACGCGCGCGAAGCGAGCTCCACCGGCGGGACCGGCCGCCGTCGGCCACGATTGGCAGAGGCCACGCCGCGAAACCGTGCGGAGGATCGTTGTGAATCTCGTGATCGTCTCTCGCCGGCCGCCTGGCTGGGCCTTTTAGCTTCGTCTCTCTTTCCCGCTTTCCGCGGTTTCTGCCCCTTTCTCGCACGACGGCGCGAACGCGGTTAAGGGCGCCCGGAATATTACCACGAACGTCCGTACGAAACTATACTGCTCGTGTACTGTGTAGCGGAGTAAGCGGAGTCCGCGACGTCGTCGATGCGCGCGCAGCGCACAGTCGGCCGTCATCCGCCTCGACAGTCGACACCGCGGCTCGCGCGAGCCCTATTACAGGGACCGGATATTTTGTAAACAAGCGCGAGCGAAGGGTCAATTAATTTCGCCCGCTCTTTCCTGCCTGTCCCGCGCGTGCCCCTTCCTTCTCACGAGGCAACGGCGAGATCGACGGCCGTGCCGAGTGCCGAGACTGCATGCCGAGGGATTCCGCGCGATTTCGAACAAATTCTGCTTTCGAATGGCAGTCAGGCAGCGTGAGTTTTCGTTCTCTTTCACTCTCTCTCTCTCTCTCTCTCTCTCTCTTTTTCTCACCTACTCTCTTGCCTTTTCCTACCGGAAACTCCGGAAAGCCCGCCAAGCTTCTCGTCTGGTGACGATGAATTCGAGCGGAATTGAATTCGTCGAAGATAATTGCGAGATGGATTTAATTATTATGTGCAGCTACGCGACGCTGGATCGAATTAAGCACCGGTTGACTCTAATTTAGCTCATCTTGCGTCTCTTTCCAGATCGCGCGCGTTTAATTAATGTTTGTAATTTCAATCGGTCGAAGATTTTTCGAAGAACGTAGCTAATTCTACCGCCGTTGGCAAAATTAACTGATCCTTAGGTGTTTTGTTCTACACGCAAGCCGCTAATTAGAAAGTATCTCTTGCAGTAATTCAGTCTACTTAATTAGAAATTTAATTCTAACTTTTAAAATCCACATGCAGATAATGTCTTACTCTTATTTGCACTTCTGTTTTTACTTTAATTTTCTTTTTCCTATTTATTTTTGTTCATTAAGTTTAAGATTTGTCGAAATAGGCATCTTTTGCATTCGACATTTACGCGCGGGCAGGGAGAAATACTGCAAAAAAAAACTAAAAAACTTAAATCAATTTTTTTATTTCTTAAAAATCATTCAGATCTATATAGAAACCGATTTTAATTTTCGTTCGATTCCAATTCGTCCATTTCTCTCACGCGATGTCGAAAGCGGAACTTTCCGTTCGCAACAAACGTCACTACGGTCACTACTCTGTGCGTGGCGCGATCCAAATTTGCCGCGCTTAATCACGTGATCTCGTCGCCATTGCGGCGAAACCGTTCTCTTCCGGTTTCCCCTCAACGGGCCATTTCCGTCGACGTCGCGCGCATATACCGCCGTTCGAATCTCGGTCGTCGGTGATTTCGAGTCGCGGAATCGTAGTCGCGTCCGCTCGGATTGCAGGCCGCGTTCGAGTGAGTTTAACCGCGAGTGCCGAGATGGTTGCGTCGAACGTTTTGACCGTCAACTGTAGAACGCCGCGCCGTTCCCGTGTGCCGCCTTGGGATCTGCTGCCAAAGGACTCGGACATTTTTTGCGCGATGGCGAACCGCGAATGCCGCACTTCGAACGGTGAGTCTTTTCGATATCCTTATTTTCAGCGATAAAAGCTGAAAGCTGAATTGAACGTACTCGTGACCGTTGATGTCTTCTCTTTCGAAGGCGACAATGATATGAATTAATGAATACGAATGAATAAAAATTATTCCCTTGGCCGTGTCTTCCCGAAGGATAAAATTCTCACGATATAATAAATAAATTCTTTTTTGAATAAGATGGAATAAGAAAAATCGAAATTAAACCTCTGTATAAAGAAATGACTTCGTATATTTATTTGCAAAAATTTATCTTGCATCGCGGTTTCGATATCGTAATCGCGGTGAATCGAGTGCGTCGCCAAAATGGCGACGAATCATGCGCGTTCGCATGAACGTAGTCGCGCGTCGATGCGTGCAGGTTTCGTCTACGCTTCGATTGGTTAATTTCTCTGGACATAAAATGTGCACGCGGGTTGGTATTCTTGCAAGCAGATGAGGTTATGTGCACGTGGGGTTAGGTTATGTATACAGAAATAGAAGTATGCAATTAACTATCTAAACGGTAAGTTTATTAACAATTTGATTTGTTCAAATTGATGTGTTACAAATAACTTAATTATCCTTTGACAATAATTGCATACGTAATGAAAGATTTTGTTCGGTTAAATTGATTATCGTGTAATTTCTTGTCACATGCTGCTAGCTGGAGAGTAGATCAACAGTATACTTCTTAAAAAGAAAATTTTACAATAAAGAAATAAATGCAAATTGTATTATTATACTGGTAGTTTTCAAATTAGCTGGATCATGCGAGTATTTATCTTTTTCTTTTCTCTCTTGTCATCCTTGTAGCAATACAGGTGTACAGATTAAAACCAGAATTATATCGCCCTGATGCCTCCAAAGGGAAAGCGATCGTTCCGTGGTAAAAAGAGGAAATTTGACGAGCGCAATGTACAAAAGCGACCAAAGACGAAGAAGGAAAAGTTCGACTTGAGAAGATCCTCTTACGTTAAGGAGCGTGAAGCAAAGAATGAAGAGATCGAGGCTCGCAGGCGGATAGTGGAGGAGGAGAAAACGCGTCAGCGACTCGAGGAAGCCGACAGTTCTGAAGAGGAAGAGGTTGATCCTTGGTTGCTCTATCTATCCGAGTTATCGGGTTATAAACATAAAAATTTAATAGAGAAACTAAACAAGCCTATCGTGACAAGCTCGGAAAGTGAAAACGAAGATTCTAATGCACAGAATAAGAATGAAACAGACAAGAAAGGAAAGAAGAAAAGGAAAGAAATGAAGAGAATGAAAAAGAGAAATATTAAAGAAGAAGAAAACGAAGAATCTGAAGCAGACGAAGAATTTTCTGATCAGAATGAAGAGATTACGGTTAGCACAAAGGAGAATGACTATGAAGATGCTGAGACTGCCCAGGAGGACATTGGTCATTTGAGAGATCCATTTTCTTTGCACTTACGCAACGATATGGATGATGAACTGTATAAAGCAGTCTCCGCAACGCCACCGATTACAGAGACCACGACGTTATTATGGCCCGCACTGGGAAATCTGGTATGTCAAATTCCAAAACCAGCTTCTGATTCAAACGACAAGACAATAAAAGTTAAAAAGCTTTTAGATGACGAAGAGAAACAATATACAAATTACGGTAAGGTTCCAACTCGGATTGAGAGCGTTGATTGGAACAAATTGCACGTAAAATCGCAGATTCAGAATAATTTAATCAAAGCTAACTATGATAATGTAAAGAATACTATAGAAAAAGATTCTGCGCCTATGACTCCTCTTCAAAGGGAGTTGTTTTCAGTGATAAATAATTATCAAGACTTGCATTATCCTGGAAGAACGTTTTCCAACGCCGATGAGATACGATTCGTCTATTGCCTACATGTAATCAATCATATTCTGAAGACCCGAACAAAAATACTGCATCATAGTGCGAAGCTAGCAAAGTCCAATCGTAGCGGTATGGGAGAAGTTCCAGATGAGTACAAGGATCAGGGTTTAGTGAGGCCCAAAGTACTCATAATAGTGCCATTCAAGCATTCTTGCTTGAAGATAGTCGAGATGTTCATCTCAATTTTATTTGGAGAAGACAAAGGTGGCTCAGTCATCAACAAGCTACGATTCATGGAGGATTTTACTGGAAACGAGTTAACGATGCCTAAGAAGAATCCTAAACCAGAAGATTATAAACTGACCTTGCAAGGAAATATCGACGACAAGTTCAAGATAGGCATGGCAATCACCAAGAAGTCTCTGAAATTATACACGAATTTCTACTCTTCCGACATTATAATCGGCTCACCATTGGGTCTCAGGAGAGTGGTAGGTGCAGAGGGCGAAGCGGTAAGAGACTATGACTTTCTGTCATCTATAGAGCTGCTGATCATGGACCAGATTGACGTGGTCCTCATGCAGAACTGGGATCATCTGTATCAGGTGTTGGATTACATGCATCTGCAACCTAAGAAATCCCACGACATCGATTACTCCCGTCTTAGAAGTTGGTGTGTGAACGGCTGGACCAAGTATTATAGGCAGACATTGATCTTCGCCAATATCGAAACGCCGTACATAAACACGCTGCTAATTAGAAAATGTTTTAACTACGCCGGCCAGGTGAAAGTGGCGAATGCGTTGGAGCCGGGCTCGATTCGCGATGTAACTGTTAAAGTTCCACAGGTGTTTTACAGGTTTGACGCTTCCGATCTTTGTCAGGCTATCGATAGCAGGCTGGATTTCTTCCTGAAAGAGATATTGCCACGGTATTCGGATCCCATATATAATCACACGTTAATCTACGTACCATGCTACTTTGACTTTGTATATCTGCGGAATCGCATGATGAAGGAGAAGATGAGCTTCACAATGATCAGCGAGTACACCCAGGACCGGAAAGTCGCTCGAGCGAGAGATATGTTCTTTCACAGCGACGCGCACTTCCTACTCTACACAGAACGCTGGCATTTCTGGCGCAGAACGAGGATAAAGGGTATCCGTCATCTCATATTCTACCAGCTACCGACTTATCCACACTTTTACAGCGAAATGTGTAATCTGATGGACAATCTGTATCAGAATCCACGTTCCGGCACGGAGTTCAATATGTCGGTAACCGTCATTTATAATAAATTTGATGCTATATCGCTCGCTCAAATTGTGGGCCAGAATAGAGCTGCTAAAATGATAGAATCGGAATCTAAAGTACACACAATTAAATGCTGAGACTTGAATTCTTTTCTTGTATTTGTACGACGCGATAGGATAATTAATAAGTAATTTAATTACAATAAATAGTAATTTTATATAATTGCGCTATCGCTGTAAAATAAAGTAACCGTTTTGTAAATAAAATGTAAATAGAATAATTGCTTTATAATATAGGACCTTTATTTTGATCATATAAAACTTATCTTAAGATATCTATCAGATGAGAATTTTAATCGCGAATAATATGTTAGAATATAATATAATGAATTCTACTGTAGTTACTGCGCATTCTTCTATTTCTAATACTATATCCAATAATTACAAATTCTCGAGTATCTTTCGCTGTCTGCCAATAAATATAATAATAGAGCATATGGTAAAAATAACGTGAACGAATAAACTTTCACGAAAAATTATATTTGTAATCTGGTCGTCTTATCACATAATGAAGATACAAAATTTGCATGTGATTTAATTCATAAGAGAGATGAAGTCTGCGACGAAATATATATGTATAATTTCATCTATAATTTCATTACTTATTACTATTGTTGATTTCTTCTATAGTGTCTTCGCGATAGCGTCGTCCACATAATTCTAGACGACTCATTTAGACATTTAAATTATTCTAATGTGTCTAGTTTCTATATCTGTCGCAGAGAGTAGTTCTAGTCTCTATAAGGTTTTTGGCAAATTTAGGTCAATGCGATTCCTAATGTTCTCTTTTCGCAAAGAGTTGGAATTGCTTCTTTATATGTACTAATAGGTTGATAATCTATTAGCGATTACTAATTTAGTTTCTTTGCACCTTATTATTTTCAACGCGAGATGTGAAAAGTCTGATATACGTTTATGTGACGTTCTCGTCGTCTTCGCTCGTAATGCTAGTGAAATTATGGTAATCCCGCGTTGTCGATATTGACGTGAGTTCAACAGACGTCTCCTCGACATCCGCAACTTCCGTGAAGATTTCCGAGGAACTTTTTTGTCGTTGAGTGGTCGATAAATCAATTTGTTCCAGCTGTTTATTGTCTATCGTCGTAGATCTTGCAATCATCCTTTCGATCTGTGTCTCTGTGACAAAAGAATATCAAGATGATTGCAGCAGAATATTCATAATTCATTATAAATTATAGAAATTAACTTATGCTTAATTTACTTATTCTAAATTGTAAAAAAAAAAACAGTATTTTTTTAGAACAAATTTTTTTTTATTTTTTTATTCGATATAATATAATTTTTTTTTATTTTGATACCATAAAATATTTCTTTATGTTTAAATTTTATAAATTATAAGATTAATATTTCACGAGACATTTATATCTTTCGCACTTGAAATTTATAGTGTAAAGATTTTTTTAAATTCCTATTGTATAAAACTTTTACAGTTTTTTAAGGTTTCTAGAGCTTGTAGAATTTATTTTCGATTAAAAAAATGCCACAATGTGCCTTCTGCAATCAAAATATAAAATTTTGCATATCTTATTTATTAGCCTGGAGTTCTAAATGAAGTTTTACTTTGCAACGGATTATATTAACTTTTTGCGCATTTTCGTGATCTTTAGCGGCAAAGAATATATTCGTGTCTTCCTTTAACTGTCTTTCCGCGTTTTTACCGTTGGAGATCGGCGTAGTCGTGCCGAGGTTTTCGGAAAGGGACTTCAGGCATTCTGGCTTGTCGGTTCTCGGTCTCCTAATCGCTTGATCCTTAGGGTTCCAAACGAAGGTGTAGTACAAGGACAGCAATATAGCAGCCATACTGACAAATATGACGTACGCGACCACCGTCAGTACTCGTACCAGCTTCTGCTTGTGTTTCGGTTCGTAGAGTTTATCTTTTCGTTCGTCCACAGCGAAACGGACCTCGTTAGCCGCCGTTTTGTTGTCGCGATTACCCAGGGTACGACCGATGCTCGCTATCACGTTGTGGGTGCTCATTTTTCGTGGTAATTGCATCCTCCACTTCACGAGAATTCACATCTCAACCGATGAGACATTCGTCATCTCGCAAATGGATCTCAACAAGAAGCACTCGAGAGAAATCGTACAATACGTAGGCTTTTTCTCAATACTGAAAACCAAACGATCCACGTTTGTGACGTTGATCGAAAGCGTTAGGAATAGCTAGTGTGAATCGCGCGAATATTCTTCTTAGGGAAAAATTATCGAAATTGTACAGCGTCTTTATGAGTCGTTAACTATATGTATATTGAACGAATTTATTATCAATCCTAGCTTAGAAATAGATTCTTAGAAATCACACCTTTGATCGAACATTTCTTAATGAATGTATCAATGACGTATATCGTCGGTCAACAGCTAATTAAGCTAATTACGTTCTCAAACTAGGTCCTTTTCGCGGTATACTTCCAAGTGGGCGTACCTCAACGTTCGACGCATCAACAAATGACGCGCGTTTATTTCCAGCGGCATCACATGCTCTCGGGGTGCTCAATTTGCCTTTGCGTTTCCGCAGCTGCCGGTACAAAAACCGATTGTTCGAATACTGTTCAATCACATCACGAGAGATAAACGTGTCCCGTAGACGCGATAGGGCGTGCCTCACCGAGACGAGCTTTGCCCGCAGAAACTCCAGATTGGAGGAGGGTTGACTCACGCGTTCGGGGATCGATAGGCCACGAGCTTTCAGCTCTCTCGTCTTCGCCACAGAACTAAACACGCGCGTTTACCGCTGGCTATTTCTGTGTGCCAGCTCTCGTGGACGGCCGTATCTCGCCTCCGTACGTCGCGAGTTACGAAAAAAAAGCACACCCACCTCGGGATATGTGCACGGGGAAGCAGTACCCAGTGCGCAAGCTCCAGGACCTTGCCCAGCCGAGAGCTTTTCGCTCCTCACGCCAGCCGGGGGCTGATA